AAGTTGTGGATCCCCATTCCCTGGAAGTGTTCAGGTGCGGGCTGGATGGGGCTTGGGACAAGCTGGTCTAGTAGAAGGTGTCCCTGCCCACAACAGGAGGGTCAGAACTAGCTGATCTTTAAGGTCCTTTCCAACCCAAACCATTATATGATTCTGTAATTCTATGGTTATCACCCCCAACTTTGGCATGGGGATGTGTCAATAAAACAGTAAAAACACCTACTTTTTTCTTTTTTCCAATAGCAACTCTTCATCTTTCAGGGACAGTGAGAATTGTGCGGTTTTGAAGGGAAAAAGCCTTTTGGGGCAATGGCCAGTAGCTCCAAGTGCACCCTGACACCTGCCCCCATCCTTCCTGCATTCTCAGCTGCCAGCTCGGCCCGGAGTGGACATCGGCCAGGAAGAAATCCTGTAACAAAGGAGGAATATGGATTAAATTTCCTCAGCAGTCTTGGCTTATCAAGGCTTCAGAGTTGGTGCTTGGCTTGTAGGAGTGTCACAGTTATATCAGGAGTGCGCTCCTAGCTGCAGGAATACTGCCTGATACACAGGACTCCTAGGAGCAATGCTGACCATCAGAGAGGCCAAACAAAATGCTCTGTATTTTTCTAAATCTGACAACCCAGAAAATTGTGCAAGAATACCAGCTGATGGAAGACTCTTCCCTTGCATTAGTTATCAGCTCGTTTCCTGGATTTGTTATCTGAGATCCATCTGACAAAAATTCCTCTGCTCCACATTGCTTCTCATAGAAACCTGAGCACTGAAAGGAAGCTTTTTCCCTTTTTTTTCATCTTCCTTCAGCATAAATTCTTTTAACATTGCTGGTACTTCACTTTCAGTTCCTCCAGTTCCTTCTTGCCTTTTCCAGTTTGCCTCTTCAGTGTCCTCATTTTTTTTGTCATATCTGATATTCCCTTCTGGGCATAGCTGTAAGCCACATTGCAGCCTGCTGTAAAGACGCCCAGTGAGGCCTTAGCTGAGGGAAGGARCAGGACACATTATATGAGCCAGGCACTGCGCCACTTAATGTGCAGGGCCTTTGTAGTTCTTGGACTACAGGAGATCCATGTTGTTCCTGTAATGTTTGCTCTGGTATCTCTGCATGGCATCACTCTGTGCAGGGTGGACAGTCCTTCTGACCACCCACTGCATTTTCTTGGGACACTTCTGATTTGACCATTTATCCTTCTTAAACTTAATCCTTCTCTCTTTCCCACTTTTTATTCTCATCTCCATTCACTGACTTGTTACTTCTGATTCAGACTTCTGGTTCCTGCCCTCTTTGCATTGTGACTTTCTTAACTTTAAGACTTCYTAATCAGTCTCTCTTCACAGGCAGTTAGTGGTTCATCAGTTTTCTTCTCATTTTTGGCATTGTGTTTTCCTCTGCGCTACTGTCTGTAAGGTTCTGATGCCATTTTCTGGCAGTCTTATCTGCTACCTCATCACTGCTGTGATGCTTTCATCAGAATTTCCCTGCTTGGGCTTGAATTTCTGGTATCTCCACTGCTCCCTTCCTTGAGAGGCTTTTAGTATGACTCAGGTTCCTGTATGACAACAGCACTGACAGAGCGATGATTGCTGCTCCTTGACTTTTGTGCTTGCTCGATTTGGTTTATGTTGGAGTTGGCAGGAACACTTGGCTAAAGGCAGCCTTCATTCTGCTGACTGCAATCCTCAAGATGAGTGGAGAAAATCTCTCCGTGCATCTAAAAGAGGAGTTACAATCAGCCCAGGGAATGGCATTGCAGCTGTCACATGTCACCCTTTGGAAACCCTTMACCACAGTTGTTACCTTTTCCTGTAAATGACAATGTGGTGACATCACATGTCCCCCAGAGGGGATTTACATCTGTGTTTCTCTAGTGGGAGAAATAAGAGCACTGTGTAAATGTGGGCATTTTATGGGGCAGCAGCAAGCGATGCTGAGCAGTGCTGGGATTCCCAGGCTGCCCCCGTGGCATTTAAACCCAGATCTAACAGCAGTTACACGTCAGCACAGTGCCTTCATATGGCCCAGCCCCTTCTCCTGGCAGACATGCGACAGCAAATGGGAACCTCCGTGTGTGTGTGCCTGAACCTCTGTCCTCCCTGTGTCTTAAATCGCTTCCCAAAGTGTGTTCACTCTTCACAATCTCTGCATATGTTTACAATGTGATGATCCAGACTCGGCTTGCCAGGACTGCCGAGTCCAGCTACTCTGTCAGCAACAAAAGAGGAAACAACTTTGTGCTTTTAAGCCAAACTGATGTTTCTATAAAGTACAAACCAGGATAGAAAATGCTTATTTCCTCGTTCTGGAACTCTCTGACCTGTCTGATTTTGTGCACATTTAACATCACCCTAGCCTTGAAAGAAGTGTAAAAAACTGAGAATTTAAACCTTCGTCTTCCAGAAAACCTATACAACACCTCTCAAATCTCCCATCTTGCCTCTCAAACCTATAATTCTGCTGMAAAAAAAGTTCAGACAGATTTATTCTTTTTGTGTGTACATTTTTAAGTAAGAGCTTGGCTAAGTTTCATTTTTGTTAAACACCTTCACTTTAGGATATTACTTGGGACTAGAATTGTTTAGAAAAGACTTAGACAGCATGAGACAGTATTCCACCAGAAAGTGTCTGCGCGTTTTTAATCAGCTGTGCTCAACAATAGCTCAGCCCCAGCCATGCACACTTCRGGCATGTGACTAATCCTATTAACTTGAAGTGAAGTGTATTAAAGTGTTTAAAGGATTAGAGTCTTAATTACAGGCCATCTGCAGAGGTCAAATATCAAAGGCTGYTCAGAGCCTGAGTTTTAGCATTTTCTGAATGAGTGAATGAGTAATATTTGTGTGAGTTCCCCCTTCCCCTTTTCATCCATCATCCTTTCTGCAGTAGAGTTAAATGGGTGTTCCAATATGGCCTTTATAACTAAGCTGAATCATCCTGATGTCCAGCAGGCAGGTCTCCATATCATCAGCTGTTTAGACATTAGTAGAGCTGCCATATGTGCTCTAAAGAAGGACTTTAGGAACACATGAATTTGAACAAATCAAGTTTGTATAGCGTGGTGCCAGCCTACTTTACAGCTACTTCCAATTTGAATTATTAACCACAAAGACTTTTTTCCTTATGATATATTAAACAGAAATGSCAAGAAACAGAAATGGAAAGGAAGGGTCTTGGGGATGATAATTAGTTGGTATTGACAATGTATAATTTAGACATCTAACTTGTATGCCTAAATTACGGCCTTTGGCTCCAAACAGGAATATCAGAAAAACAGGGATGGAAATTACCTTCTTCCTCCCACCCAAAAAGCAGGATCAATTCCATTAGGTAACTTCTGACAGACCTTTGTTCAATCTGCATTTCAAAACTCAGAAACCAAGGCTCTCATTCCCTATATTATTCTCTCACTTTTTTTTCGTTTGCACCTTGAAAAAGTTGTTTCTAGCATCTAACCCAGGTCTCTGTTGCCCACTGAGCCTTTTCAGCCGGTGAGGAGACTTTATTGTCCTCTCCCTTAGACATACAGTGCACATATTTAGGGCCCTCCTACTAGGTCTCCCCTTTCTCTGGGATAAACCACTCMAATTCCTCCAATGCTTCCTCATAAAACCTCTAATTCTCTCTTCTACCCCAAGCAGAATACAATACTCCAATTGAAGGTTTTCTAGCCCCAAGCATGACAGAAGAATRGCTTCATATGTCTGGCAAACAATATTCCTTTTTATGTAGCTCTCAGTGCTATTTGCCCTTTTAGTAAGTGGCATGGCTGATTCCTGTTTGGTTGGGAYCCATGCTAACCACCAAGGCAGTTTATACAGTGATGCTATCAGACCAGAAATTCTACAACCTGCATTTGTGGTGATGGTAATTCTGCACAGAGTGAAAGCAAGTCCTTTGAATTACTTCCTTTCCCCATAATGAAACTTGCCTGGTGTGTTGAGRTTCTAGCCCTATCCTCTAACATTTCCTGTCCCTCCCAGCCTCACTGGCYGGGAGGAAAGTTGTCTGTTCTGCCATCTGCATTATTTAATGAAAATATCAGATTGGTGATACTCCTGCTACAAGAATTCTGCTTGCTGTGTCCAACCAAGTTAACAACATATTCCTGTTAAATATTCCAGTCCAGTTTACAGCYGGTTCTGTACTCATTCATTTGTGCTTTTCTGGACTTGCTTGTGAGATGGATGGCCATGTGAGACAGTGTTAGGAGCTTTTCTAAAACCAAGAGCTGGGAATGAGCCTGCTTGACATAATTTATTCTAGGCAAAGTAATCTCTGTGACACTAATTTCTTTTGTAGGTACTTAAGTGTGTCAGTGGAGGGAGAGGTTTAGCTCCAGCACCTCATTGTTTAATGACTCAGCAAGTCACAAAACAGGTACAGCTTCCTAACACAGGAATGCAAGCAAGAGAGAACTTGAATTCCTCTGTATGAGATCGAAAGTTGTTGCCATCTACAATATATTTATTTCAAATCCAGAGCAATCACAAAATACCATTTTACATTGCTGTGCACTGGRGACAGAAACAAACTGTCAAGGAAAACACTTCCCTAGTTATTAAAAGTGATTTCAGGTAGCTGTCTTGGATTCTTTTAGGGCATTTTTCAGCTTCATGCTTTAAATAAAGGCAGTGAAACTTTTCAGTCCAGGGGTAAGTGCAAACAAACACAGTTGCATCCCACCAAGCAGCTGCCTGTGTCACACTGGGWCTGCCTGTGAACACTCAGCGTACCCCAAGGTCAGTGGATAAACTGTGCTATGAGGGTGAAGAAACAGGCCCCATGGASCACCCATCAAATCAGGACTCTACTGATGATAATACTGGCATCTTAATGATAAACATGGACAAAAGATAGAACTGGCAGAAAGTGAGTGTTATGATACTGAATAACATTAGCTGGTGGAATAGCTGTATTTGTGAAGTATTCTCCGAACCAGGGAAGAAAGAAGATAAAGAATAGAAAAGAAAAAAAAACAAAAAAACAACCAAACAAACAAACAAACCGAACAAAATACCAAAAAAACCCCAAACCAATTAGTTGTTTAGTTTATTCACTAGTTAACAAAAGTATCTTCAAAGTACCTGTTGCTAAATGTGTCAAAAATCCCAAAGGATAAGTGTATGGGAAATAGACAAAAGTAGTCCCCCTGTAATATGTAGTCACAGGTGTTTTATGAGAAAAACCTCTTTCCCAAAGCTGCTGAAAAGAAGGCAAAGAAAAACAAAACAAAACAAAAAACCATTGCAATAAATGTGGAAAAAATAGCATTTAAACATTGAACAGCAACCAAGTGCMCAATTATTCTAGAGTTAATAGGAAAGCAAACAACACATGTAAAACAGACTACAGAGCAGCGTATGACAGGATTAGGCTGATTTTAAATCACTGGAGAAACATGAGACATTGGTAAGAGCATCCCAGATGAGAAAACACGGACTGAGAGACAACTGCCTCAGTTCAGAATCCTTTTCCAGCAGGTCCATCATCCAGTGCTGGCACTGACCCAACCAATCCCCCTGTCTGCATTTCACCCGAGCTCGCAGCTAAGAGACCCAGTGGAATGTAATCTCTGAGAAATGGGTGTKAGAAGCGCATGGAAAGCCCCAGTGAGCGCTCCTGGGCAGCTGTGAGTGCCACACGGACATACAGACATGCACATAGGATGGCTGCACAGCTGCTTTGGCAAGGTGTCCCTCTCTGTCCCCAGCTCACATGGCAGGCAGCATTCCCAGAACGATGTCGTGCGGTGTCACTGCCGGCTGATCATCACACTCGGCTCATATAACYGGTGATAGGAGTTGGCCCCTTCGGCTGGGGAACAAGGGGATAAATCAGAGAAAAGAACTGAAAACAAGGCTAGGTGTGASGCAGTTTCTGTTGGGAAATGAAGGCTCCATCCCATGGGAGCCGCCGATGGGCAGGGGCGGGTGGGTTTCTGCCCCTTCTCGGCTCTCCTGGCTGGGTTGGGGACAGCAGGTGGCGGTCGCGTCCTTGCTACAGCGGCAGCTGGAGCCCACACTGCGCGGGGATGTCTCACAATGGCGTGTTCAGAGCAGCATCTGTGACCCTCTTCTGGTGCCAGCCGTGCTTGTTCACGTTGGCTGCTTCTCAGGCACTTCCGAACGGCGCTGAAAGGCTCAGCAGAGCCCTCCCCCGCAGCCTTCCAGGAGAGCTTCCCACAGAACGCTGCTTGAGAGATAAGTAAACAACAAAAAGAGCATCCCAAAGGTTTATCTGTTTTGTTCGAAGCTCTTCATAATCATACATGCCTGCAAAGCTGAGAAATGTGTGTTTGCCACATGCGTTTGCAGATGGTTGTGGCATCTGAAGCAGATCAAATGGATTGTACATTTTCTCATATTGCTCGGAAGCCAAAATATCTTCTTTTCAAATGCACAGAGAATTATTTGGATTTATTTCCCAATTGAGAGCCTGATTCAAAGATCTACTTTATTTTTGGGGAAGGACTATGGCATTTCTGAAAGTTAGGGTCCTAGCCGTTTTTACAAATCTCTAATATATTATCCATGTAGATAAAAATAACAAGCAAAGCTGCCAAGCGAAAGCAACCTAAAATGAGATATTTCTTGAAACTATACTCCTYCTCCTATTGTACCTCTTCATCCCATCCTCTCCCTGCCTTGAAGAAACTCATGTYCTGATAATCAAATACCCTCCATCCTCCAAGACTGACAAATCCAATCTCTTTTGCATATTATAAGGGCAGAATCAAGGGCACAAACCCCCCTCTCTGGCAAACAGATCAGTGTTATCCTGAGTGTTTTCTTTGCTTATGTTTGGCTAATGCAGCAAAGCTCAATGCAAAACCAGATAGAAGGGAAAGTTAATTTTATTTTAATCTGATTTCACATCTACTTTCTCCCCCAAACTGTTTTCACTCATTCTTTCATGTGTATGAGGAYGGAGATGGTTGTGGCCATGGAGTGCCAGCACAGGCAGTGCCTTCAGCAGCTGGGTGCAGCACACAGGGCTGGATACTGATAACAGGGTCCATCAACAGTCCCAAACCAGACAAAGTTAATGAATCACACAGACCTGGACACTGATAACAGGGTCCATCAACAGTCCCAAACCACACAAGGTCAATGATTCGGGTCCAAGGGCCATTCAGGAGCAGCAGGACAACAAGGTGACCAGAAACAAGGCTTGAAACAAGGCTGCAGCACTGGCCCATGGTCCACCCAGGAGATGGGGCTGAGGACAAMGCTGCAGCAGAAGTCCAGGGTCCACCTGGCAGGCATGGCTGGACACATGCTAGCTCCAGTATGGATCTAGGAATCAGGGCTGGAGAAAAAACTGCCTCCAACCACAGGCATGTGATTCCCCCAGCAGACAGCCCTTGGTTTTCCAGTTCTTGGTGCCTTCAGAAGCTCCACATGCCATTCCTTTGCCCCTTCATGTAGTTTCCTCATGATTTCACACTTTTACACTGCCATTCACAACCCACTGATACCAAGCTTAATGTTTCTGTCAAATCCCTGTGGTGGATTTGATTAGGTCAGGTTTTAAACAATTCARTGCAAACTGCTTCAGTGGCCATCAGGAAGGTCATCAAAAGCTGTGCAGGCTGAGAGCAGCAGTGCAAGATGCTACCTGTGTGGAGCAGATTTTAGCAAGCAGGCTGCTGCCTGCTACATGAGCTCTGTGTTTTGAGCATAGCCCCCATATCGAGCACTTCACAGCAGCRTAATCTCACACACAATTTTCTCAGCAAGGTTCTCTGCAGACCCGAGCTGTATTTACCATGCAGTTAGCATAGTCAGAGATTGAGAGCRTTGTATTTAAACCAATAAAATAGATTCCTGATTGTCTTCTCCTGGTGAGTCTGGCTTTGTGCCGTGTGCTGAGTCTCAGTGCAGGAATTGTGGACTTAGAAATGAAGAACATAAGGTCATTTGGAGCAATATAGGTTCCGTTAAGCAAATGTAAGGGTATTTYCACTCCAAAACACCTTCAGCAAATCATTTGGCTTCATATATTTAAGCTTTTATGCAATTTCTTGTTAGCTAAACTTATTTGATCTCCATTCTGCAGATTTAGCTCAGATTGCCTRGAAGGATATTGTAATTTGTGAACATATTGCACTCATTTGGTGTGACTTTGAGAAATAAAAACATGTGGCATTGTAATGAATGATACTATAATTTCTGACCTTCCTTCAATAAACCTATCTTATTAACAGTTCTACATTGAATTAGACCACCATTTATCCCTGGCACAAAAATTTAAGGGAAAAGCAACCCATTTTGTCAGAGCATGCCTTGGTAAATCTMATTCYATTCCAATAAATGAACAGTGCAAARAGGATTGGAAYTTACCAGGAAAYACTGAAYGAAAGGTCAGATTTGTAGCAAGCATAAATCAACATTCTTGCATGGCTTAAGTGGATTTATGCCCATATATACTAGTCAAGAATCTGGCTCATTAACGACAGGATGGATTACAAATAGAGTATCAAGCAGGTGTTTTAGTCTTAACACGTCTTTCCTTGACTTGTTAGCTTAAATCAGACTCTAAATATTCTGAAGACCTTTTGTTCAGTTTAGCTGAGGAGCAAGCTCGTGTAGAATTTGGTTAAATTCCCTCCCTTGAAAGCCATCTTTTCAAGCAAGGTCTGTGCAGTGCTTCTAAACAGCTTGAGCAGAACGAATTGTTGTCAGCTTTTCCAATCCATACATTTYAGATTCTGAAATGTAGCCTTTAGGGCAACTTAAATAACACAAAACCAGCTGATTGATTGTCCAAGGTTGTGATGATTTGGTGATGCTCAGCAGGAGATGATTTGGTGTTTCTCTCTCGCCTTTGAAGCGCTCTACTCCAGACAGTGCCCCGTGAATGTTTAAAGAGCTGCAGCACACAGGAATTGAGCAGAGGAGGAGTACAGGGAGGAGCAAGTCCATGCTAGGATTTGTGCAGAATTACAGGAGACTGAAAAATCATTTGACATGGCTGTGCCAAGCTTTTCTTGGAGCAGGCATCCCCCAAGCATCTGTGAATGGCCTAAGCCAATGCAGTGCTGAGAGAAGAAACCGCTGCTCAGGCTGTATCGCTGGCTTATTTGTGCTGGCATCAGGATTTGTAGAATTGCACAATAAAGCTGACTGGGAACCATCCAGCTGGAAACAAACCTAACAACAAGTTAGTTCCCCYGAGGCCACGGCTTTCAGCAGTGCAGCCAGACTTGTTCATTGAACTCTGCTCTCCCAGCGGGCTGGAGAAGGAGGTTAAGGTCACTGCTTTGCACAAGGACGCCTACCTGCCATTTTCACTGTCACATGGGCTCAAGTGCAGCTGGGACAATGCGTTCCAGACCCTGGACACAGCCACCTTGGCCCGCAGTAGGGCATGAGGGAGAAGGGAGAGGGACAGACACCTGGGCCATAGGGAATGTCTCTGCTGATCAAAGACAGAGGAGATCATTGATCAAGCACTTCACCTTTGGGATCTTTGCCAGGCCCTGGCAAAGTCAGATTTGGTTTGCGAAACCCAAAAACTGCTCACAGACTTCTTCCCCCGGGTATCAAGTGATGAATAATGAATGCTTTTACGCTGTGCCATTCTCTCAATTTCCGTTGCTGTTACTAAAGTTGTCTGACTGAGATGGCCTTTGTCCTGTCACCTTGGTGTYKGTAGCCAGATCCTCCAGGAAACTCAAACTCTTGGATATCATTCACTGCCACAGGAAGTGAAAAATCACAGTGTTTACTGCATATTGTGAAGAAARCCTCTTAAAAGAAACACCACTATTGATCAAAAATGTCCTTTTTAACTCACAAAAGCATTCAAACCTATTTTTACTAAAGCATTTGAAAGCACATGCATATTTAGGAGCAGAATAGCCTAGTTGCAGGATTGTGCTATTTTATCTTAGAAACTTCAAGGCAGGTCTGTGGCTGGAAGGGAAACTGTGGAGAAGCAGCAGCCACTGCAACAGGCTGCATCAATAAGCAGCAGCTCCCTCATGGCATCCTTTGCCCACCTGATCTGTCTTAGATGAAACAAATAGCAGAGGCCACTTCCACTTCTAGATRTAAAAATCTCTCTTTCCCACAACCCTAGGAATTTTAGTCTTTGTGTCTGTCTCAGCTAAATGCTCTTACTAATTCTGTTTCACGTGTATAAATTCCCTGGCAGTTTTCAGTTCAGTTAGTTAAATAAACCATAATTTCCTGCCTGAAATGTCAACTATTGTGGCCCAGGGTTCCCTAAGGGTCTCGCTGCCTTCAGATCAGCTGCTTCACAATCTGAGCACATTCACCTCCTTCTTTAAAGCATTTTCTCTGATTGTTTTTAACATGAGGACTTCCCCACACAGGAAATCCAAGTTTTAAAAGTAAAGATAATAGACAAGTCATTCTCTTCAGCATCAAAGGGATTCCAGGAAGCAGTGTAACTATGGCACTGAATTGTAGATTCAGTGAGACCCAGTTCATGTCACTCAAAGGAGACATCCTTTGGGATGATGGGGGGGTTTCAAACGGCTGAGGGACTTTGCAAAGTTATGAGTCAAGGTTTRTACTCTCTCTTGGAAGTTGGAAGCTTCCACCATGTTACATCATYTATTTTGGCCTGTATTCCCAGGCCCTATTTTGGCCTGTATCCCTATATGGGTTTCTGGAGTTCTGCTTTTTGGTAAACAACCCTGAAAGCTTCTGAAGATCTTTGGACTTTCCTCTGAAGGTGAGGAGGTCAGGACTCCTTTATCAGGCAAACTGCTGACCCAACAACAAGGTGCAAATAGTTGCAGATTTTGAAGTTGCAGTTACACTTTTAACTCTTTCCTGAGAATTAACATGCTAGAGGTGGGGAATCCATACACTCCTTTCTGGTAAGTAACACCGAGGGAACAGTCGCTCATATCCATTGCAAATACTACTCAGCACTGAAATAAATCAGTGCTGCTTTCTACTGAAGTGCTCCTGAAGGTGCTGCTGTGTTTGAGCAGTGGAGAGAAGGAACCAATCCCTTTTGGGTCTGACACAGGCAGTGTCTGACATAGGCTTTTCACTTTCCCAGGGTGAAAAGCAGCTCCCAAGCAGCTCCCAGTGTGGCTCAGCCCAGCTGCCGTTGCCTCTCTCCCCGTCTCCGTTCGGATCCACGCCACCTGCGGCAGGGAGCAAAGGTCCTGGAGCTTTTTGCATGTTTGGAAACACGATACAGGCAGCAG